AAGTTATTCGCTGGGATGATAATGGGATTATCGCGCTTGACTGCTTCAAAAACTTCTACCATCAAATTGAAATGTTTTCAGCATTGATCAGCTTAGTAGATATTATCGTAAGCTAGCGCCAATAGCGCAATCACCGCATAGAACGTTAAAAAAACCGTTTATTGTCCATCAAGGTTACATTGGTGTGTCAAGCTATATATAGACGCTAATTCGTTTTACTCACATCACCGACATGGATGTTGAGTGGCAGAATCGTTGCAAAGCTTACCGCTTTGTGGCCTATTCGGCCGTTGCCTTTTCGGTGGTTGCCATCCTTGGCGCTGCTACCACCCTTCCCATGGTGTACAACTATGTGCACCATGTTCGCCGTACAATGCAGAGCGAACTGAACTTTTGCAGAGTAGGTCTCATTTCTCTTCTCCTTATATAGAGATCACGAGTTAATTTTTAGACTTCTGCCCGCGAAATCTGGTCTGAAGTCAATGGCATGAAATTACCTGCCAATCGTACCGCACGTCAGGCATACGGAGACGATGGAGTTAGCGGAGGAGGTTCAACTTCAACAGGAGGTGGAGGAAGCACCGCTGGAGGAAGTACTGGTGGAGGAAGAACGGGTGGAGGAAGCACTGGCGGAGGAAGCACTGGCGGAGGAAGAACGGGTGGAGGAAGCATTAGTGGAGGAAGTACTGGTGGAGGAAGCACTGGTGGAGGAAGCACTGGAGGAGGTATTGCTGCACAAACTCCTGGTCGCAACATCGGCGGAAATGACTGCACGGCTTGCTGCACAGGTGGTGCAGCTGGGCCTCCCGGAACCCCAGGAAATCCTGGGCGGCCAGGAAACCCTGGAGCACCAGGAGCCCCTGGAAACCCAGGACGCCCACCTGTTCAACCTTGCGACATAAACCCTCCCGCCCCGTGCCGACCATGTCCATCTGGACCACCTGGTCCCCCAGGATCAGCAGGACAACCAGGACCACCTGGACCCAATGGAAACCCAGGACAGCCCGGTAACCCAGGGGGACAAGGAACTCCAGGACCCCAAGGACCTCCCGGACCAGCCGGAAATCCAGGACAACCAGGATCACCAGGACAGCCTGGAAACAACGCTGCATCAACCCCAGCATCCCCAGGACCACCTGGACCCCCAGGTCCTACAGGACCTCCTGGACCTCCTGGAAGCAATGGTCAGCCTGGAAGCCCTGGAGGAGCTGGTGGGTATTCTATGTATTTCACCTCTATCTACCAAATATTTGTCCATTTGCAGGCCAACCTGGACCGCAGGGACCACGCGGCAACGATGGACCGCCTGGAGGCCCAGGAAATCCAGGACGACCAGGAGATAGAGGAGGACCAGCTACACCTGGAGAGCGTGGTATCTGTCCCAAGTACTGCGCTCTCGACGGAGGCGTTTTCTTCGAGGACGGAACTCGTCGTTAGTGTACATTTGCTATTCCGATGTTTTATACTGATAATAAATATCTCACGAATATTCCTTAATCACACTGCATGCACATAGTTTCTTCAAATAAGACTTTGTCAAATATATGCACTAGCTAGATTTTACACTTAATTGCGTATGCACGTAAAACACGTTGGGTTGTCTTACGCTGCAAGCTCAGTATGTTGCACCACGCTGAAGCGCTCAACTATGTGTTTCGCAAAGGCAGACGTAATGCCTTACGATCAAAATTACATTTTTCCCTTACGTTGAAATAATAGTCAACAAACACACTCATGAAGTTCTTAGGAAGAGAGCTTTTAAGGAAGATTCTATAGTCTCAATATCATTGCTCTCTGCTGGGGTTACGAGGATTCAGTTAGAATTGGAGATTTCTCCATGCTACGGCCGGTGTTCAGGAACTTATGAGGTAATGCGAAATATGTCACTTTGGC